ACGAGACTATAGTTAGTTTAGGCTTTGGAATTGAAGTTTGAGGTTAGCTTTAGGCTTCGGGTTCATGGTTTTGGGGTTTAGTTTAGGTTTAGGGTTTGAGGTTTGGGGCTTAGGGTTCAGGGTTTAGGGTTTGGGGCTTAGGGTTCAGGGTTCTACTTTTGGGATCGCAGGAGCAGCTATGTTCCGTCGGCTAGCAAATGTGCCAACCTTCGATTTGCGCTTGCGCCGCTGCATCTACCGTCTGTGTCTATGGCCTTGCCCTAAACCCTAGCCCTAAAAGGCCCCTAAACCCTAAGCCTTAAGCCCTAAACCCCAACCCTAAAAGGCCCTAAACCCTAAACCTTAAACCCTAACCCTAGAAGGCCCTAAACCCTAAACCTTACGCCCTAGGCCCTGAAGGGTCTAGGGTGTATCGATTTCAGGTGTAATTTAAGGTGCCGGGTTTAGGGTTTAAGAGGCTTCAGGGTTTGTGATTTAAGGTTTAGGGTTTAGGATTTAAGGTTTAGGATTTAGGGGTTTAGTCTAGTCCAATAGACGGGACAGTGGGCAGTTAGATGGAATGTTGGATCGGAACAAAGTGGAACGTTGGAGTCGGAGAGGTTGCAATGCTGGGTTGGAACGGCAGGAGGATCACATACGGTGTTGTTTGCACATGTGTAATTGTTGAAGCTTCAGAACCGGCGACAAATCGTGGAATGTTCGAACGTCAGGTTCGTAATATGAACCACTAGAATGCTGGCGCGTCCTCCGAAAGCTACCCTTAGAGTATCTCGTAAAGAACCCCTGAAAACGATGGCTACCAATCGGGCCTCCACTCTTCAGCTCAAGTTTCGCCGTAAGCCCTAAACCTCAAAAAAATACATAACTTCCTAAGGCCAACCCCTCCAGGACCCGCCAACCACCCTTTACTAGAGCTCTTATGGTCCTCGACCGGGTGTATTTAACCCAGAATGAAGGGTAGTAGGGGGGTTCTAGGTAACCCTACCTGGCCCTCACGAACCTACGTTTGTTTGGACTTCGTTACGTACATAAGGGAACTCATAGTGAGGAGCCCCAAAACAACCGGTTACTTAGGGTTAAGGTACCCATAGGCCCCTAAGTAGTTCCTTCTTGGGATTACCTTATAGGATTCTACATACAAACCATTAAAAAGGAACTACTTAGGGGGTCTATGGGTAAGCCCCTAACCCCAGCTGAGGTCTCGCCCTGCTCGGCTTCCGGCGTTCTGCAGCGTGACGCAAAAGCGGCGCTTGTCGAGCTCCACCTCCTTGACGACCTCATGTCTCCCTACTTGGAGGATCGGGGGACTTAGTAAGTAGCTATTTTATAGAGCTATAGTAAAGCCTAAAAAGTTGGAAACCGGATAAAGGCCAAATTGTGCTGGGATTCCCTATATATGGCTCTTAAGGAGTGAGGCTATGGGGTTTCCAACTTTTGGGCTTCTACCATATAAGTATCATAACCTGAGTTAGGATCCCGATTAAGGTGCTTATAAATCTACTTATTGCCCATTTACTACGTCCCCCGACCCTCCAAGTAGGGGTTCTATCGGAGTTTAATCGGGTCGGGTCCTATACGGTTTCTCTAGCAGTTTGGAATAGCAATGTCGGCTACCTTAAACTACCATAACATAACCGCCCCAAACCCTAAACCCTAAACCCTAAACCCCAATTGCTTTTTTAAATGCCTCAGGGCTCTGACTGCCTCCCTGGTGGTGGGTTCGGTTTTTAGGGTTTAGGGCTGAGCCTGAAACCTGGTTTCAGCCAACATCCCGGCCTGGTCGGCGAAGCTCCAAAACCTGAACCTTAGAGTCGAAGGCATAATGTAGGGGCCTTAATAATTGGAACAGGGTTTTGGGGGTTCCTTAGTATAATTATAGCATAATATACCCCAAACCCTATTCTAATTATTAAGGCCCCTATATTAAGCGAAAGAGCCAGAATTCTAGAGCCGAGACCCAAGCCTACCAACCTCCGAACACCAAAAACTCTAAACCCTAAACCGCTAAACCCTCAGGCGCAGCATGCAAGCTCACATAGCAATTAAGCTGCCCCAAGAGAGCTGAAAAGCCAAAGCACAAAATAGTAATCATATACCCGGCCCTTAATTAACACTACTCCTCGACTCTGAACAAGCGTCAAACCAGTGGGTGTCATAACACGATAAACAACATGAGGCCGAGTACTACAAGGGATACATACTAGTTGTAGTAGGATTACTCTGGACATCATAAGGGTTGCTGTTGCTGGTGCTGAGGGCCTTGAAGGTGCAGGGTTTCTAGCGTCTGAAATGTCTGATGGCAGGGATGCGCCACTGTTGAGGTTTGTCTGTTTTTGGGTTTAGGATTTATAGGGGTTTAGGGTTTAGCCGAGACTTTCACTGTACCTAAATCCGTTCCATGGCCCGGAAAATTCCACAGCATCCGATTTCAAAATACGACCCTAAAACCAAAAAACGACTGTCTGAGCATGGCACGCACTCGTCAATGCGGTCGCCAACCTGGTGTTTCAAAGTGTGCTTTAAAGACACTTCAAAGGCTTCCAGGGGGAGGCTCTAAGGCGGCTTCACAAGGGCCTTCAGAGGAGGATTCAAGGGCTTCTGAGAGGTTAAGTGAAGGTTTAGGGTTTAGGGTTTAGGGGTTTAGGGTTTAGGGTTTAGGTCCAGTTGGGTCGTATTGTAGCCGACGCCCTGAAGCCTAGATCCTGTCCTAAACCATAAGCCCTTATGCAACCAATCCTATAGCCCAAAGTAGGGCTTTGGGGGTTTAGGGTTTGCCTAGACCCCAAATAACCTAGCTGTTTGGGGCTCCTTATTATGATTTCTTTATATAAGCCCTTACAAAAGGCAGGTTATATCGGGTTTAGGGTCTAGGGTGGAAGCCCTTGACTTCCAAGTGCTTTTTGCGCATAGAGCTTAGGGTCTGCGGTTTAGGCCGGCTTCGGAAACAAATGCACAAGAAGGGCATCTCCTTCGTGTGAGGAACCGGCCTGAAGCCTAACACCCAAAACATAGTGTTAAGACTAGGGTTTGGTGGTATATTATAGTACAGTACAAAAGCTGTATTTAGGAACCCTAAAGTACCGTATTGGCAAATTATGGCCCCTATAATAACACCGCAAAACCATTGAACAAGCGCATGGACCCGACGACTCCCCAATGACTCCCCAACAACAACTCCCAACCCGCGACTTTCAGGTTTATAGGGTTCAGGGTTTAGGGTTTAGGGGCTTAGGGGTTTAGGGGTTCAGGGGTTAGGGTTTAGGGCTCAGGTTGTTGGGTTTAGGGGTTTAGGGTTTAGGGTTCAGTGTGTAGGGCTTAGGGTTTAGGGGTTTAGGGGTTCGGGTTTAGGGTTCAGGGTGTAGGGGTTTAGGGGTTTAGACGGTTTAGGGGTTCAGGGTTCAGGTTTAGGGTTTCGGCTCTAGGCAGCATACAGCCACATCTCAAACCTTGGTAATGACTTAGCAGGGCCACCAGACGCTGAACTTGGCTGAAACTGCCACATAAAATTCCTTCGTTGGAGGGTTTCGGGTTTCGGGTCTTTGGCTAGGTGCCCTTCAATAGAATGCAAAAGATCCTACTATGAGTAGGTTCCGATACTAGGTAAAGAATGCTTTGCGCCGAGATGCATGGAACTGCTTCCAGAGTCGGGACTCAATGAGAATTTTGGCATTCCGCGCCGCACCGACCTCAGGGTTTCGGGTTTACGGTTTAGGTTTTAGGGTTTGGGATTGAGGGTTTGGGNNTAGGGTTTAGGGTTTAAGGTTTCACGCCGACCTCAGCAACCGCAGAACAGGGCCACACGCGGTGCAGTTTGGCATTGATCGCTTTCTTGTTCGGCTTAAGGCGTCTGGTGGTCTAGACTGTGCTTTTGATGAGGGGGGGGGGGGGGGGNNCATACATACGTACATACACACATCCATGCATACATACATACATACATACATCCATGCATACATACATACATGCATGCATGCATGCATGCATGCATACATACATACAAGCATACATGCATGCATGCATNNGATTCACAGATACATAGATACATACATACATACATGGATTCACAGATACATAGATACATACATACACACATTCATGCATGCATGTATACATACATACATACATACATACATACATACATACATACCATAAATACAAATACAAATACAAATACAAATACATACACATACACATACACATACACACACGTATACATATACATACATATACATACATATACATACACATACCTACACATACATATACATAAATATATACATACATATACATACATATACATACATATACATACATATACATACATATACATACATGCATACAGGCATGCACGCATGCATGCATACATGCATGCGTACATGCATGTAGTTGTTGTCGTATACGGCACTAGTATGATTGTATTGCTATCAGCCTACTGCTTTGTTGCTGAGTTTGTGTGTTGCAACGGCGAGAATGTTATGGTTGTTGCAGTTGTGGTCATTGTTGTGTTGTTGTGTTATTTCAAGCACTACTGTCATGTTTGTTAGCATTGCTTGTGGCTGCTAGTGTGAGTGCTACTGTCATTGCTGCTATCGCTATTGAGCTTTTAGTCTTGCTGTTAAACTGTTTCTAGTCATCATGAGCAGTACTAGTACTATTATTCCAGTCGCTACCAGTACTAGGTGCCTCTGCTCATCCCGGCTTCCTTGTCTCCGCCATGTATCTCCTGCTCTTAGAGTGCTTCCGCTGTCATTGGCTCGTCGCCGTCTTGATTCGCGATGTGCTCAAACAATTGCTTTGGCCCGGAACATGACTCTTATCGCCTTGTTTAGTTAAGCTCCGAGAGTTTGGTGAAGCCCTGGGAGTCCATTGCCAAGGTGCAAGCAGCTACCGCACCTGCCACCACAGGCACGGGCTCCTCAGTGCAATACTCCCAGCCGCAGCCCGCTTCCTCGGTGCAGTACTCGCAGCAGCCAGTAACCTACACGCTGCCCCCAATAACCATGCCCGCTCCTAGCGCCTCGGCAGTGTATGCAGCACCGGAGCAGCAGCCCATGACCTATGCCGCGCCAGCTGCAGCACCGGCCCCAGCACCCACTCCGGCCATCTATGCAGCGCCGGAGCAGCAGCCAATGACTTACGCAGCTCCAGCTGCAGTGGGCGCACCGGATCCCGTACCTGCTGTTTATGCAGCCCCAGGGCAGCAGCCACTGACCTATGCTGCCCCCGCAGCGGAACCAACCCCCGCGTCTGCACCGGCCTTTTACGCAGCCCCGGAGCAGCAACCAATGACCTATGCTGCGCCGGCCGCACAAACCGCCCCCCCAGCAATCTATGCAGCGCCTGAGCAGCAGCCTATGATGTATGCTGCTCCCGAGCAGATGCCCATGACATATGCTGCTCCAGCCCCAGCTGCGGGACCCACTCCCGCTATCTATGCGGCCCCCACAGAAGCCCCCCAGCTCCCACCTGTGTATGCGGCTCCTGCCTCATACACCCCTCCCATGGAGATGCAGCCTGCGCCGGCTATCTATGCCGCTCCCGCTGGGGACATCCCGCAGGCATATGCCGCGCCAGCCCCTGTTACTTATACGACAGCGACAGTGCAAGGCTCATCTCAGGCAGCAGTCCCAATGACATCCTCTGCTGCTGCAGCCGCACCGGCCCCGATACAGATTTCTTCTCAGCCCTATATCCCTGGAGCAGGCATGGAGTATGCGCAATACACTTACGCACAGCCTGCCCCGGCATACTCATATCCCGGTCCAGTCTACACCGCGCAGCCTCAGTACACATACACCACCGAGCAGCTGTCTGCTGCGCCCACGTACGTACCAACTGTCAGCTACCAGTCCCCGTACGCGTATGCAGCCGCTCCGGTCGCAGCGACTGCTGCCCCTGCTGGAGTGGGGGCCTTAGCCCTAAACCCTGAACCCATAAACCCCTAAACCCCTAAACCCTAAACCCTGAAGCTCCTCCATCCTCACATCACTCAGGTTTTGCTGCCATTCCTAAGATCAGCTGTAGGCTAAAGGGTAATGTGGGGCTCTGCGGATGTCCGGCAATAAGGGCTATCCTGTGATTCCAGAGTTGAAGGCTCCTCTTTTACGGTTGATGGTATAAATCCTGCATTGCCCATAATAAGGGATATACCACAGTTCCCATAGTTTAGAGTCCTTAAGGTAATGCAGGATTTATATCAACAACAGTATGGAGAGATCCTGGTCCTACTTAACACCAAACAAAGGGCACATATTCCGCAGTGGATGACGTGTCGGACATTCTTGGGCTAAACCCTAAACTCAACACCGAAGGCCCTTGGATCCTAAATCCGGAACCCTTCAACCTAGGCCGCTTGAACCCTAAGGCCCGAACGCCTCACCCAAGCACCGAAGGCCCCCACTCTAAACCCTGCTACCGCCCACCCATGCCCAAACGCCCCTTGAACCCGAAACCCGCAGCAGGGTTTCGGGGCTTCGGGTTTGGCGTTGAGGGTTTAGGGTTTTGGGCTTCGAGTTTGTGTTTTTTTGGGGTTCAGGGTTGAGGGACGCTTGTCCCTAAACCCTAAAGCCCTAAACCCTCACAAGGATCTCTTCAGCCGCATGGATGCGAATCACGACGGTGTGGTCTCTCGTGAGGAGTTTGCGAAGGCTTTCCAGGCGCTAGCCCACCAAGCCCTGTGAGAACCCAAACGTAAAAGCCTAAATTACCAACATTATCCCTTAGGGTTCCTTATCATACATAAGTAGTATAAAAAGCCACCAAAGCCTATTGTAATTATCCTTTAGGGTTCCTTGTATTAAAAACCCCAAAAACCCTATTGTAATTATGAAGGCCCCTTTCTCTCAGACCCCCCAGCCACAAAGGAGCCTTCCTTCTCCAGGGCTTGCAGGTCGTAGAGTTTAGAGTTTAGGTGTTTAGGGTTGAGGGTTTTGGCGTTTAGGGTTTAGGGGTTTAGGGTTGAGGGTTTAGGGGTTTAGGGTTTAGGGTTTAGGGTGGGTTCGGGGCGCAGACATTCGCTTCTCGTCGTAGTATTGCCAGAAGCCGACTGTGCTTATTGTGGCTGGTCCATTCGGGTTCAATCCTCAACCCCGAGACCCAGTAGGACTTGTCCGAGGTAGTACTTCTAGGGGACTCTTCTTCACCCGACTTATGGCTCTCTTAAAAGGGACCTTATTGAGAGAGTCCATATCCCCAAGGTCCCCCTAATCCTATCTCCTAACTTGTAGCAGCAAGTGCCAACCCCAAACCCGGCAACCCTAAACCCCCAAAATTTCGATTCCCTGAACCCTAAAGGCTTAAAGCTTCAACCCTAAGCCCGAACCCTGAAGTCGTAAATTTCTCTAAAAGCTGTGGTACCGGGGTCTGGTACCTTGCAGTGCAATGCTTTGACACTCTTCATTTTTCCGCGGGCTTCCGGAAGCTGAGTGCATGGTCACGGGTTTAGGGCGTAGGGTTTAGGGTGGCCGGCTACTTGTGAAACTCGCACTTCATCAACATGTTTTGTTTCTTATCACCTCTACGTACTATATCAAGTTCGTAGTTCCTTATGAGCTCTATCACATCAACCTCGTATTCTACACAATTTTCGTAGACCATGTTAGGCACGATCTCAGAAAGTAGACCCTAACCCTAGACCCCTAAACCCTAAACCCGAAACCCTAAACCCTAAACCCTAAACCCGAAACCCTAAACCCTAAACCCGAAACCCTAAAGCCTCTAAGCCCTGAACGTGAGACCTTGCTTGATTTTATCGCCCAATTTCCCAGGCGGCGTCTTAAAAAGCCCGAGCCTCGGTTAAGGGTTTAGGCTTTAGGGTTTATGGGGGCGATCAGGAGAATGGGGTATCTGTATAGTATCGTTATATAGTTATATATATATAGTTATATATATATATATAGAGACAGATAGATAGACAGATAGACAGACAGATAGATAGATAGTTAGATAGATAGATAGAGTTATATATATATATATAGTTATATATTTGCACATATATATATATATAGATTTTCTCTGTACGGTTGGATCAGGGTTGTTAAGGGTGAGGGCGTCTTATGCAGGTCCCAAGCCCCCAAAGCTCAATCGAAGCCGATAAAAACTTATCAAAGCCCCTGTAAGACCTTGTGTCACAACCTAGACCCTAAACCCTAGACCCTAACCCTAAACTACCATTTTCCTAAACCCCTAAACCTTACACCCTCAACTGTAAGATGTTGCGATAGCTTGGCACGCTCGAGCTCGAAGTCCGGGGGGTTCCACGTGCGAGTTTCAGAAATTCTAGCCGCGCCCCACATGAGCTTGCCGTTGTCGTGCTGCACTCTGCGCCGAGCCTGAACAACCGGAAACCCTAAGCCCTCGTAGAGCAGCCCCAAGGTACAGGGCCAAGTCATCGCTAGGTAGCTGGGTTACTGTATGGGGGGATCGAAGCTTAGGCTTGACAGGGTTATAGGGTTCAGGGGGCAGGTTTCGACGCTTCTAGACTCGGGGCTTGGGGATTTAAAGGATCGAGTTTGTCAGTTTCTTAGTCGCGGAGTGGGTAGCCTTTTATCTTGGGGGCTTGTGCAAGTCTGCCAAGATCGAAAGCCTATAGCCTTAATCGGGCCAGGAAGCTTCAATTGGGCCCTTGGGGGTTTGGTCTTAAGTTCGTGTATTCTTCTTGCCCATGGCACCACTCATCGCACACATCTTTGTGTCAGAGATCACAGATAAAGACCAAACCCGGTGAGGATTGCCCAACCCTAGCCCGAAGAGCCCGAAGCCCAAAGCCCCCTTTCACAAAGCTTCGGCTCCAGGATGATTCTATGAGCCATCTCGGCCCATGATGGCATCGCTTTCACAGTTCTGGGTGTGTGCCTGGACCCTGGAGGACCCTAAACCTTAAACCCTAAACCCTAAACCAGGATTTCGGGTTTCGGGTTTAGTGTTTTTGTTGGGGAGTGCTAGGCGGCTAGGCTTGTGTCATGGGGGTTTGGTAAGTTTTGTTTTGGGGCTGTGCCTGGCCTGTTTACGGTTTATTAGCATTCACGTTCGGACGGTTTAGAGTTCTGTATCGGACCCTGATCTGAATCGCAAATGCACACCAAACAAAAGTTGATTCAAGTCATTCTGCCTTGTATATGGCGTGGAATATACTAATCCCCTGATATAGCCCAAACTTAGCATTGACCGTCGACCTTCGATTCATGTTCTAAGCCACTAAGCCATGTAAGGCCGAAATCGTAGACCTCAAAACCCGATCCTCAACCCTAAACCCACAATATATATATATATAGATATATATACATATATATATATACACACAAAAAATCACACTATTAGTCTGTGGGTTCCATACTATAAATCTACTATAAAGAAGCCCAAAACCCGATTCTCATGATGAAGGCCCCTACATTCAAAGCTTATCATCCAAAATCCCAACACTTGGAACCGAGTTGCTAAAAGAAGGAGCCTGAGAACTTACCAAGATGTTTCCTTCTACTGCAACATGCCCCAAAGCCCGTATTCTAATTCTGAAGGCACCCTCTCTACTAAACCCTTGTAGCAGTCCGTGTCGAACTCTCACAGGAACCCTATTCTCCCTAAACCCTAAACCCTAAACCCTAAACCCTAAACCCTAAACCCTGACCCTTAAGGCCCCTATATTCCACCAACAGTGCTTGCTGCTCCAGGCGGCCTCCCAGGTTTTGCTCGGAGAGCGAAGTTATGACGGCAGTGCTTTTGATGAGGGCCAGGGTCGTGCATAGACGGCATTGCGCCATGTCGGACACTAGCACTTCAGAGGTGATGGAGCTCATGAATTATAGCAAACTGGTATCCGCGATTTCCTCAGGACTTCAGTGCCATGGTCGATGTCCGAAGTCGGTGCAAATGCCTACGGCATGTCGACAGCGCCTCATCCGTTCACTTGAATGTGCTTACTATTGCTTCTGGGGACCCAGGCCAGAAAAAGCGGGGCTCTTCCCATGGGTGCGAAGGCTTTGGGATTTAAGTTTTTAAGGCTTCGGGTTTCAGGTGCACGGTTCCCTCATGGGGTTTTGCTATCGTCGTCTGAAGCTGCACGAGGCAGAGGATTGATCCATGTTCGTTCTTGCATGAGGTGGTGTAGTCACGTACATGCATGCATGCATGCATACATACATACTACTGTATTATATATAGAAATAGGTTTACACACATGTGTATGTGTATATATATATATACACATACATATATATACATATATATATACACACACATACATACTTACATATACACATGTACGCACACACACATGCACGTGCATTGTTGCACATACTCTCATGCAGTATGTCCCAGACATGTATTACGGCATTCGGTGCACGGTACTAGCCGGTGCTTGCATCTGCAAGGTTCCACACTTCATTGTGGGCATCATTATGACCGCCACCACCGTCATCACGATCAGGATCATCGTCGTCATCTCAGTCATCATCATCATCATCACCATCATCATCATCATCACGATCATCATCACCATCACCAGCATCAGCATGAGCATCATCACCATCATAACCGAATCGTTATCATTATCCTCTTCTCCTTCTTCACATGCTTGTCGTAATTGTCAGAATTATCAGCCAACATCACCATCATCATCAGCATCATCGTCATCATCCTCATCATCCTTATCCTCCCGATACTCCTCGTCATCGCCCTCGCCACAGTTTTCGTCATCATCACCCTCATCGTCTTCGTCGACCGTCACCATTCATTCGAAAGCCATCATTTCAACAATCCCCGCTAGCTTTCCGACATGTTTCTGACTTTGTGCGGTCTTTGCAATTTTCGATGTCGAGAGTTGCGCAAGTGCCACGCATGGTTCCCGGCTGATGCTCCACAACCCTGAACCCTAAACCCTAAACCCTAAACCCTGAACCCTAAACCC